GAGCAACAGCAAATGAGTTGTCAAACCAGAGACAACTCTCATCCTCCTCCTCGTGCTCCACCGTCTGATGCAGCATCCTCCGTGCTGAAAATGCAGCAGGAAATCGGTGACGCGGACTCTGTGACAGAAACAGAAACCAAGAAGAGAAGAGCTACGCAGTTTGTAAAGCAAAAATATTGATTTTGTTAAACGAACAAGTGTTAATTTAATTTCAACAAGGAAAATCAAATTTTCCAATCAGGGTTCCAGATCTTCTTATATTTTTTGAATATAAGGATCTTAAAATTATATTTCATATGCTAAAAGATGCTACAAAAGTAGCATTTTAGGATTAAAAATTACCTTAAATGTATGAAATCATAAATTTACAAGGACTCAACATATTTTGTTGCATACTTTTCAACGCATTTTTAATGGTTTTCAAACTAAGTAATTTTTACAGACCAAGGACATAAATTAAATTCTAAAATTCACTTATTTAATGTCTTACTTCCAAACTCATAAGTTCAAAGAATTTATAACATTTTTCTAAATGATAAAAATAAAATTTTTAAAGATATCCTAGGTTTTTATGATCAATTTCCGATTTTGTCCTATAATTCAACTGCAAATCGCAATGGTTTATCTAATTCGATTTCCCGAAGTTAGTTTCTTATTTTGTGTTTATAATAATAAACTAAATTCCCTAGTATCAAAATATCAAATAAACAATAGAAAGTTTATTACTTAATTCTTGATTTCTTTTATTTTTTTAAGCCAGCAGCATCCTTCCTTTTCTCTTTTCTCCACATTTTGCACCAATTTGCACGCACAAAGAGCCATAAAAAATCGCGATACTAGGTTTGTGTGTAAACGTGTGGGTCTCGCAGAGAAATTCCATATGCCACATTTTTTTTTTATACGGCCAACGCAGCAGCAACAGCAAGAAAAAAATAAATAAATAAAAAAACATCGAAAGCAGCAGCAACAATTGCTGATGCCACTGCGCCGACTTCGCTTTGCCTTGTCTTTTCTTTTGGCTTCTCTCTTGAAATTTACTTTTTTCTGTGTTGCTTTCGCACAAAAATTTTAAAAATAGCCAGGCAAAGCAACAGAAACCAGCCAACAGCACTGGCAACAAAAAAACAGAAACAACAACAATATAAGATAGAATAAAAAAATGTATTTAGCCAATGGGCAATGTCAGCAGAGTAGCGAATCTTAATACACTTTTTGCGGAGGGCTATTAAATGATAAGTATTTCTATTTAAAGATTGCGGAGATAACACATAATAATATAAATAAGAGAATTAATATGTTAATAAATTCAAATAGCTAACGATCTATGAGTATTTCGTATGAAAATAACGAGGGTTGGAATTACCTTATGATTTTACTAAGAAAAACCTTGATTAATTTACTCTAAGAGCTTCTTTCTGGTTCCCAGAAAAACCCTAAATAATTAACAAATTTTACCAATTAAGCAACTGTTAAATGTTAACAAATTTAGTAATTTTCTCTGTAAAATAAGCTTATATCTAGCTTAATTGCATTATTCTGCCAAGACCTCGAAATACCCTGCACTATATCTCACTCTACTTACAGCAAAAGGGTATCAAAAGGCAAGGGCAAAGCAGTAATCTGCGATCAAAGAAAAAAAATAATAAAACAGCGGTCACAGCAGAGGCCAACACACTAACAACACATCAAGTCGTGGAGAATCAGCAACAAAAACATATTAATGAAATCGCTTTTAACTCGTTTCGCTTAAGTATTTTATGCCAGAGAGTGTGTGTGTGTGTCTGGCATGGAGACATGCCTCCTCATATAGCCTCCCCCCTTATGGTCTGTTATAAAAGTGCAACAACAACTTAATACAGACACACACACACTCGCCTCAAAAAAAAAAATATATATAAAAAGGCAGCACATGATAAAAACAAACACGATACGATCGGGGGGGCCAGCGATGACCCAAAGTGGTCAGTCCACAGTACTAAATAAAATTCAAGTATTAAATATATTATGAAAAGTATTAGCCTGTCCAACAAAAAAAAAAGCTGTTGTATTTTTGTTTATTGCTTGGAGCAAGTGCGCCAATTTTATTTGATGTTTGTGCGTGAATTAATTTTGTTGATGATTGTGTAAAGCCACTTGATGAGCTTTAAGGCTGGAGTGTTGCCAGATGACCCAAAATAAAGCCGTGATTTATATTCAGATTTTAGGGAATTGATTTTTAATCTTATCAGGGTTGATATAGTAAGTATCAGACATAGGAAAATATGAAAGCTTTAAGGTTAATACATAATAGAGCGATTAAAATAGGTGGCAAATTGTCAAACCTAAACGTTTAGTCAGTGATTTATGATAGTTCTTTTAAAGTTAAAGACTTTTATTATTATTTTGACTCAAAAAAATTTTAAGTATAGAATGCAATTTCTTTAAACTTTTGTCATTTTAAAATTTTATATATCAATAAACCGAGATTTATTATGGTTCTTGCAACTTTGAGGTCATTTAATATACTATCGATCGGACACATTAGGGCTTTTTTAAGTATACAAAGAAAATTGTATAAGAATTTAATATGATTAAGACTTTTATCATATTAGAATTTTATATATTGATTAACAAAGACTTCTTTCGCTTAGAAAAACCACATTAACTTAGATTACTTGCTGACTTTTCAACCTATTTAATTTATTTGTAAGCTTAGAATCCTTAGAATGCCCGTGAAAACCTCTTGGGAAATTTGTTCTCCAAATCACTGTTCCATTTAAAATCTTAGCCCAACTGAAAGTGGCCCCAATACCTCAAAAAATAAGGCCTTATCACCGCAACAGTAACAGATAAAAGTAAACCAAAAACGAAAAAACTGACGCTGTCATTGCATTTATGGCACCGCGGCACCAATAGATTGGAATTTTCTTTGGCGACATCGGGGGAAATCAAAAGCGTTGTGTACAAATCACTGCTTCCGTAAAGAAACAAACACACCACACACACACACACACACACACATATTGAATTTGGTGCAAACCGTGGCAGCACAAAATGATGTGTATACCAAACACGGGCGAACAGGTAACAGAGGCGCTTAGAGCCAACTGGTTCATAAAAGACCCGACCGACCAAGAGACCAAGACTCTGCGCCCGAAGGCCAGGCAAAATCAAAGTAACCAAATACAAAAAAATAAAACAAAAAAGTGAAAAAAATATAAAAACTGCAGACTCGAGAAATAACGTTGCCCAGTACATATGGAGATGGAAAAAACTCCATGAGAAGGCAGTGGCGGCGTCGTCTTCGATGGCCGCCATTGTCTCTTTTGGAGCATGTGTATACAGACGTGCATAATTGCTCAAGTATTTGTGGCCATTTTTGGTTGTGAATATATGCGTGTGTGTGTGTGTGTGTGTGTGGAGGAGGTCATCAAACTATGACGTCGCCAAAAAAGCTAACCCATGTTTGCATTTCCTCTTCTCTGCAAATAACTCCTCCAAATTGTTTTCTTTAGCGGAGAAAGTTAAGAAACAGTTGCTGCTCTTGTTATCGCACCATTTCCGTGTTCTCTTTGCTCATATCTGGGTTAATTGATACGCTGATAAGACTGTGCAGTCATCATGCGCCTGTTTTGGAGTGATAATTGTCCAACAACTATGGCAAAAAGTGGGGCCACACCCCAAATGGAGTCAGCCAAGATCGCGTGTAAAAGTCACAGCATCCCTTGGCGGACAGTCTGGCAACGTGGGTTTGAGCTTTTTTTTTGGGTCCCAATTAAAACCTAATCAAAGATTTTAAATCTCCGAGGGCCCCAACATCAATTGCTGCCCTCGCGCGCGCAATTAAATATATACATATATGTACATCTAAAATAAAAATAAATACTGTGATCACTTAATATCAGAAACAGGGCTATAATTCAATTATTTATAATATAAAATTAATAATCTCTATACCACAAGTGACATTTTTGGGATATTAGTCAAACCAGAAGACTAATGGTCGTTATCTTTTCCAACAAACATAAGTAAAAAGGGAATTATTATTTTGAATTGGATTATATGCAATGTTGGTTTTAATTAGAGTTAAAATCATTATTTGTAAGAAAATTTAAAAAAAATTATTAAAAAGAAAATTCTTCATTCTTTAAGATTATAAAGTCCTGTACATTTTACACAAAAATATTTAGTAGAATAGTAACAGTTAGGATAACTTTCTTAGTACACGGTTAAGACAAACTATACCTAACAAGAATAAAAGATCGACTGAGTTGATCTTGATCTTATTGAGAACCAAGTAGTTATAACTTTATATGAAAAAGGGTAGAGGAAAAAATTAACAATTCAAAATAAAAAAGTCATACTATAAGAAAGATTTGATTTAACACTGAACGGATATAATATTTCTATAAATCTTATAATTATTTTCTAAATTCACAAAGGTTTCACTTTGCGACTCTCCACTGTAGGCGGAAAATCGTCAAGCCTGGAGTTTACTCTTGAGATAAATCAAATTGGAATTTGCATCAAATGGAATTGGAGTGACGTCAGCGCAGAAATCTCATGAATAGGATTCTCTGGCAGGAAACCGTTAGCTTGAACATCCGCACACCCACTCCCACACACACACGCACAACTCACCCACATACAGACAATAAGAAATCTATACCGAAAGGCAGAACGAACCTAAGTTCACAGGTAGCTGTTGCAATGAAATTATATAAAGTGCGCATTTAGCATCACCTCCTTATAAGAATCTCCACTCAGGCCGCTTTGAGTACATCCCCCTCCCCTCTATCAATGGACCCCGCTCTCAGCTGCTGCGTCAGCTGGACCGGCATCGACATGAACTTTTTTAGCCGGCGGACAAGGAGGCGCACGCCCAAAAACAGTTGCTTTTTCTATATAGAAAAAAATGCCCAGCGCAGCACCCCGCACAAACACACACACGGACACTGGGACTGGTACTCGACGACCCACACACACATACACATGTCACATTCTCTACTTCTAGTACCTACCACATTTTTTTTATGGATTTTTCCGCCACGTTTTTCACTCGGTTGCCGTTGGTCTAGCGTTGTGTTTTGATCTCAAATTGTAGGTAACGGTATTACCTGTCGATTAGTTAGTTTTTCAAGGTGATATCCGGCCGATTTCTGGGTTTAATAGCGCCAACAACTAGCGCAATGTGCTCACGGCGGCTGAATTTTACTTCTGCTTCTTCCTCTTCTCTTAACACCGCTGCAGAAAGAATGAGCGGTGCGGCGAGACGGCGAGAAAGGCAGCAGAGAGAGACGGCGAATTGGGAAAGCAACAGCAAACACAACAACAAACGCAGCGGGGCGAAATGCTGCGGTGTTGATGACGTTTATAGCGCCACCCACCTTTTTCCACTCCACCTTCCACTACTTCCAGTTTCCGCAGTTAGTGGTTGCTGCAACGAGCAACAGTTATTGCCAGTAACTATTACGATTATAAATAAAGTCAGCATTTCCCATACACACTCCGGTCACTTTAAAGTTTGACGTGTTTCCAACAGCCAAAATCGAAACGAGCTGCTGTTCAAGTTCGAGGGTGTGTGTGTGTGTGCCGATACTTTGCTTCTTCTACATACTTTGTTTGTTATTTCACACACGCTTTCGTCGCCGCGTATCGCAGCGTTGCTTTTTCAATATCAAAATTAAATATACCGCGCCTTTTCCGACTATTTTCGACTCGGCAGGTATTTCAAGCAAAACTCGCCGCCACACACTCGATCGCACTGACACACACACACATATGCACTCGACGTTCGCCCGGCAAACGTATTTTTGTTGTTTACAAAAACAGAGCGGAATAAACAAAAAACAGCTGTTAGCGCCGATGTTATCGATAGACGGGAATATCGTCCCTGCACCTGTCTAGTGTTGGATAAGAATTAAACTGCGAGAGCGGGTGGAAATTTATCGGCATTAACCAACATGGATTCAGCAGACAAAAAACATTTTAAATATTGCTGCACAAATTCAAAAACATATAAACATCAACAAACTAACTCCGATTGTCATGCCTCTTATTTACTTTCTGTTATAACTTGTTATAAACTTTTTTATTTCATATCGAAAAGCTGTTCAATAACATTTCGCCTTGAAATGTAACTAGCCGAATTCGTTCTTCTAAATAGCGATTTTCCTCAGACGCGAACCATGCATATTACGAACGGAAAATAAAATTGTAATAAAATTGATGTTAATATTAATTAAATACGCGAAAATATAAAATGTTCGTCTGATAATTAAATGCTAATAAACGTACTAGATGTCTGTATATTTTATATGCATATGTTGGGCTTTATTCTGCTTGTAATCATAGAAAATAAAACATAGGTAGGGCATAATTTATGTGACACTGATTAAAAATTTTTAATAATTACCATACACATTTCAGGTCTATGATAGCTCCCAAATTAATTTGCAACGCAGCTGATAAGTTATTTCTGATCCTAAATGTAAATATATTTCTGATCTTCGTCAACAGCCGAGTCGATTTAAAAGATTTTAAATATTTATTTTATTAAAATTGATAATAATGTATAAATTGTTAATTTTGTTTCTTTAATTTTACATTCATATAAAGTTCGATAAGCATATAAGCATAAACCATCTCTGTTGCTAACTTTGTCCTTGATTTATGGTTTCTCCTTTCATTATTTAAAAAAATTAATAATTTATTCATATCTTTTTTTTTTTTTTTTTTCGTATGTAGAATCCTTTGCACTCTGGACCAACTCTCTTGAAGGCTGTGCAACTAAAAAGTGCATTGAACTGCGGTCTTGGGAAAGGACAACAATTTCGGCGCTTGTCTGGGAATCCAACGCATTGCCAATTCACAAAGTCCATGGCAAAAAATAAAGGGTATGTGAAAAGTACATAAAAAAGCAGGAGCAGAGAGGGGTAAATCTTGATTGGTGAGCAGAAAGCCAGTCCTAATTGCATTTGCAGCCGCACAATTGAGTGATTTCTTGATAAGTCATCCTTCTTACGTTTCAGCAAAAGGGATGCAGTCGCAGCACGAGATATTGCAGATTTTTCGGGGCTTATGCAGCAGTTTTATATGTATTTTTTTGGCATTTCACTTATGATTAATGGACGCAGGCAAAGGCAAAGGGGTGGAAACAAAAACAGTCACATTTAATTCCATACGATCGGAGCTGCTGAATCAAATATCAATTATGACAAACACCTCGTAGTGGTTGGCCGTCGTGTCCTGAACAATTTGCATCGCCGAATATGTGATTGCCTTCACCTCGGTGCCCTGCGGATGTTTTCCCAGCTCAAAGGGTTCACCATAGCAGCGGCACGAGATCTCGAACGTTTCCATATCGAACTTGGTGATCTCCAGCTTTTTGCACACCAAGTATGGCTCGGCGGAGAAGAGGAACAGCAGCTCGTCGAGGAAATGGAAAAGCAATCCCTCCAGATCATCACCTTTTGCTTCTATCTCAAAGCACTGTTCCACGGATACGTACTCCAGTTCCGTCATATATCCGAACATGGCCACTCCACATTGTTCAAAGGCTTCCTTTAGACTCGTTCCCCAGCCATGGAGTCTGTAAGTAAAAGCAAATAAAATGTTAAATTTTATATATTATAGAAAATTTTAGAAAAATTAAATTGCCTATATTCTACTAGAAAACAAGCAATCATTTAGAGACGCCTATTTTTCTCATTCAAAAACATTGAACCACCCTTATCCACATGGTCGCGGGAGCGCCTCTGTGTTATTGTTGTTGTATTACTCACTGTACATCGGCGGTGTGGTCCAGGTCTGCAATATGATGAAATAGTTAGCAACAGGTGGTTTTTTGATAACTCTTATGTGTACTCACATTCATACTTCATCTCCGGCAGGAGGAAGTTGTCCTTACTGAATTCGACCTCCATAATTATTTGTTAAATTAACGCTAACTTAGCGGCTAAATAATAATAAACAAAAGTCTTTTGGACTAGAGCTGCAAGAACTTCGATGGTATTATCGATAATATGGATGAATTTTTAAAGCTCACATGGAAAACGGTTCAAAACTCTGCTAAAAACAAGAACGTAAATAACGAACATCGCAATATCGTAAGCGTTTAACGTGAGGAATTGTTTTGTTATTAAAAATTAGGAATCGTTATTTTATAAACGAAATGAAGTATTTAAAATTTATTTTAAAAACCTTAATTTTACTTAAACTGTAAATATTACCAGTGAGGTTAGCCTAATGTCTTTTTACAAAGACAAAGGCAACGTTAAAGAAATTTTTTAAAGGCTTATGATTTAAAATTAAATAATATTAATGATATGTCCGTTAAAACACCTATTATACTTAATCTTTTCATTTTATTTACATAAAATAGCGACAAAAGATTATTTAATAAGCTAAAATAACTTTCTATTCTAAGGTACTTTTTTTTCGTCTTACCGCACTACTTTCATAATTTTTAATAAAATCGTTAAAAATATTTAATAGCTTAATGAAAATATAATAAAGTCATTTTAACCCAAACTAAATCATAATAAGCCTAATTGCGATGTCACTTAAATTTCTTAAAGCTCTTTAGAGTTAATTTTTAGCCGCGTTTTGAATTTCTGTAAATAATGACCTTGTCCTTTCATTAAATTGCAATCAGCCCAATAACAACTGAAGCTGCATAACCTTGTGGGATCCATTTGGCAAAAAGTCGTCCATATAATCTTCATCTCCGGCAGATTTTCTGTCAATCGCTTTATTTCTCAGTTGAGAGTGGAGCACGCACGCGCAGTAGTCAATCAAGTGAAGCCTCAATTTATTCAGCACCGTGAACTTGAATGGTGCTGGTGTCATTGAGTACTCGATTTGAAACATCCAGAAAATATATATAAAAATAAAAATAACCATAGACGGATATTGGGTTTGCCTAATTAAATTCAGATCACTTTTCGGCCAGCGATGACAGGTAGTAGCTAAACTTAGGGTAATGTTGGGTGTTGTTATTTTCTTATTAGGGACATCTTTGTACCATTAAGACTTAAGAAATTAAATAGTAAATATTATATGTCTAACTTTATAATTATTGAAAATAATAATTGAACAAATAATCTATCCGAAGTCATATATAAATAAATATAATTATTATTTTGTTTACTATTTAGGCTTGGGCTTTAGGTAACGCTTATCTTATTTACATAAAATGTCCGAAAAATTGCATTTTAAAATAATGTATTGAAAAATAAAAAAATAAAATAAATAAATGTATTGAAATTCCTCAAAAATAAAAAATGTAAGTCCTTTTCTTTTATTTTTAAATGTAATAATTTAAACTGACCATTTTTAAATAGATTTACATATAAACAAATTATTTGTTAAACATTAGACATTTTATCAACAGATTCTATTTCCTTTATAATATATATTTAAAAGGCTGATAGGGTACATTATTACATAAATGTTTACATTACATTATTATAGGGTATTTTTAAGTTACCTATTTGAGCTAAAAAATTTTGTGAACGCTTCTTAAAATATTTATGAATGATTTGGGTTGGGTTATTTACGACTCTTTGCTCCGTTTTGTGGGTGAAGTTGATAATAAGGAAATGCGATCAGTTATTGACCCATTCGGAGGATGTTAAAAACTTGACAAAGCTTGGGAGTTGCTTGCTCCCGGCCATTATATGGCTTTCAAACATATTTTCCGGCAATTTTTTTGTGGCCTTTTTCGGTGGAAGCTCTTTTCGGGTTTCTGTTACTTTTCGTCTCAGTGCGAAAGTCTTTACTTTTGGTCAGTTGACTGCGGCAGTTCGACTGAATCACACGTCGCGTATTTAGCTCACTTAACTGTACAAAAATATTTATTATTATTCTTGAATATTTGTGCGTGTTTTGCCTACGGAGGAGAGGGAGTGTTGCCCGAATTCCCCCAGAAATTCCGCTACGAAAAAATGTAAATAACGGGAGGAGTGACTGTCCAACTTTGGGGGTTGCCCAACTTAACTGAGCCACTATGTATACTAACTTGTTTCCTCAGCTACTGACCGTTGGCTAATGCAATTGCAGCCGCTAAAAGTGAACAACAATTGCTAAATGTTTATCATACGTTGCAGCTACTTATTGTTGTTGCTGCGATTGTGTTGCATGAGTGACTATCGAAATGAAAACAAAAGTTGTTGTTCGCACCCGCAAGTTTGTGTCTTGTTCAAGTCTTTCGTTTGCCCAGAGAGCCCTTTGAAGTGTTGTCATATACACACACTATATTTGGTAGTTATCTTTTGTGGTTTATTTGCTGCAGTGCTTAGACAAGTAATAATAATGTCGCCTTCGTAAAAAGGGGTCAAGTGCAGGCGGCAGACAAAAAGATTACCAAACATCATGCGGCATGAAGATGGAATTGTCTTGAAAGAAAAATAACATGGGAAAAATATGCTAATGGGTTTTCTTTGACTAACTTTAAAAATAGTAATAACAAATTTGTGTGAAAAAAAGATATGGAAAATAAATATTAACAAGATGACAGATAAATAGAAAAATAATAGATAAATTTTGAACTAGTGAATATCAAAAACTAATTATAAAAAATAATGTAATATAATTAAGGCTCAAGAAGTAAGAAGTACTGTTGGATATGGCTAGATTGACTCGGCTATTCATGCTGATCAAGATTATATATGATTTATAGGGTCGAAAATGACTTCTTCACATTGTGACAAGCTTCTGACTAAAATGGTTTATTTAATTTTTTAAATTGTCGTGAATGAATTATAAATAATTCGTTTTTAAACAAAATTAAATAAGTTGAAATGATAATTAAATATTTATTAGTGCAATTAAATACTATACATAATAATAGTAACTGAACCCACTCACCCCACTCTTGACTGATAACAAGAAAACTAGTTTTTCAGTAAAAGTAAAAGTGTCTTCGAGTGGCTGTCAAACTGTAAAACGCGGAAATTGGTGTAAAACTTTGGAAATAAAATATAAAAAACGCTAAAGATAGTATAAAAAATAAACAATTGACCAAAAAGGAAAAAAATATATAAAAAGAATATTAAACAATTTAAGTCAATCAAATATAGGTTTACTGTATAAATATTTAATTTACTAGATCTCCCTTTAAAATTACCAATAATTTGGTTAAGTGCAAGTCAAAAATCAAGGACAACATTTAAGCAAAAACCGGCGGCACGCAAGAAAAACAAATAATAAATACATAAGTAAATAATTAAATATAAACAAAAGCGAGCAAAGACAGAAGGTAAAACTAAAGCTTTGCTTTTTCTATTAACAGTCACCGCCGCCAAGCACTGCGAGCATGTCACTGCAATGGCCCTCAAACTGTGCCAGATATTTGGTCTACCTGATGGTGATCTTTCTGTTTGCACAGCACCTGGCAGACGCCTCCAGTCAGATCGATGTGGATGAGGATCTGAGGCACTTGCTGGGACGTTGCCAAAGCGGCAGTGAGGATTACAACGAGTGCATGCGGCAGGTGTTTAACGATCTGCGAGCCTACTTCACAACAGGTGAGTGAGTGAATTAATTGTCTAATAAAACTTAGCATTGCAATATCTTTTTTTACAGGTGTGCCCGATTACAATATTAAGCCCTTTGATCCACATCATTGTACTTATGTGGAACTGAGGCGAGGCGACTCCCAGGGCATTGGCAGTTTTCGGCTGATCTTGCGCAATGTCTCCGAGTTCGGTTGGTCGCGATCCGAGGTGACCAAGTTCCATGCCGACCCCGAGGACCAACGTATAGTCTATGCCCAGTATTTTCCAGAGAAGAGCCTCGAGGGCGAATATGAGTTTGCCGGCAAGATGCTGGGCAAGGAGATGGGGCGGAAAGGTCATTGGAACTTGACGCTCTATGACTACAGGTGAGTAGTTTGTATTTGTATGCAATTTAAATTACTTATTTATATATATATATTTCATAGTCAAACCACCAGTGTGCGTCGCATTGGAGAGCCGGGCTCTCTGATCAAGGTGCATGTGGAGGTGGATCGCATAGGCGGCATGGAGCTGCACATTGAAAACTTATTAAAGGGACAACCGCTGAACCAACTGGCGGACGGAGTGATCAATAGTATGTGGCAACTAGGACTACCCTTTATCAAACCCATGATCAATGAGCTAGTGAGCTCTGCATTTACGGACATCTTCAACGAATCCTTTCGTTACTTTCCCCTCGAGAAGTTTCTTCCACAATCCTCATCTAGCTATTAATTATTATGTTTTGTAGGATTTATTAACCGAACTGCTGCTTTACAAAGGCTAGTTAATTAATTAATTAAAACACACACACCTTAGACATCGGCCAATGTGCTGGCTATCAATTCGTTGTGGGGCCTGGGCTTCGGCGGCTGCAGAGCCATCAGTGTAAGGGTTCGACCAAAGAGTTTCCTCAGCGAGATGACCACGTAAGAGGAGGTCTGCAGTTGCTGATCCACGGTTTCGTACAGTAGCTGGTAGGCCTGCTCCAGCTCTGGCGTTAAGGTGGCTAAATCATATAATAAATTAATGAAGAGTTCCTTAATTTCATTTAATTTACACTTACCTTTCTGTTGCTGCAGCTGCTGCTTGCCCAGGTCGAACATGAAGCGTAGGTAGCAGAGCTGATTGTACAGGTCCCGCTCTGTATACTGGCGCAACAGGCTGCCACTCCGGCATTTCTGACACAACGGCCGCCGCATCTCCTTCTTCAGGGTGTGGGTGCGGGTATTGTAGTTGCAATCGGGATGATCGCACACCAGCCAGTTCTTGTAGAATCTCTGGACATGTCGCCGTATCGTGAGCTGTAACTGATTTCGAACGCTGGCCAAATACTGAATCGGTGGAGTCTGGCACTCGGCATTCGAGCATTGTTGCAACACGGGAACGTGTGAATTATTTGGTCCCGGTCGATAGGCAGTGGCCATAAGCTGCTCCGTCTTGCATGCCACGCATTGGAAGCGGAAGGGTTCGCACAGGCGGTATAGCTGAAGGGTGGTCTTGAGCAGGGATTCACCTTCTGATTGTTCTGTGATCTCACGCTGGGTTCTGGTGAAGCGAATGAAGTAAAATATGAGTTTATAAGATTACCTTAAGAAAAATATTAACATACCTTTGTGCATTTTGTCGGAATTTGGTTGGATCCATGCCCAGACATTCGGCAATGCGACTGGCATCGGTACCTTCGAGCACCTCCACCATGCGCGTGACCACCGGATGGATCTGATGTCCCAGATAGTAGTCTGTATCCAACTTCAGCTTCTTCTCCTCGCTACTACTCTTCAGTTCTTCCATGTGATAGGCCCGCTGCATGGCGGCATTTGTGGTGCCATCCAAACAGATTACATAGTCCACCATGTCGCCCTTTTTGTAACGACGATTGCGTTCCCGATTCATCCGAAGTGCCACCTGGACATGGGGCAATGAAGCACTATTGGCATATTCCTGGGGTGCACGTGTCAGCTGCTTGGTGATAACAAAGAGGGGCAACGGTACAGCACCTTCTGCTATTTGATTTTTGATCTTCTCCAGCTGGGCATGAACGGCATCCAGTTTTTCCTCCAACTGCTTCTCGGCAAGGACTTCATCGAGCACAGCTTTGCCAACCATCACGGCCAACTGGGACCAATCGCGACGGACAATGTCCAAACCCTTGTGCTCCTGTTCCCGCTTTAGGTTACCCTTTGAATCTTTGCTCAACTTGACGGCAGCATATTTCTTCTTCTTCAGCAAAAGCAGGCAGGAGAATACTCCATCGATATCCAACTCCAGCTGCTTGTACATTTTGTTTACACTCTGTTTGATGCTGTGGCCAATCTTGTAGACCTGATCGTAGTCCGTGATATTGGTGTTGATCATCAGGGAATCGGTGTCGCCGTAAACCACATCGTAGTTCAGCTTCTGGACCAGTTGCTGGGTGTTTGTGAGGATCTCCCTGCCCTTGTGGGTAACCAAGGCAGCCAGATGCTGGGCAAAGAATCGGGAATGTGCAAAACCCAGGCAACCGTACATGGAGTTTGCTGTGAGCTTCAAGGCCATCTGACGAATGTGATACTGCATCTGGAGTTCAGGTGAGAGATCCGGCGCTGCCATTAGCTTCTTCACCTCCTTTCGTGACTCCACCAAACGTTTCAATTGCAGCGGCAATATGCCAGGATCGGTTTTCGTATCCGGCAGCGTGGGCAGCTCATCCGCATCCACCGGCTGCTGGACCGTGGTGAAGCATATGTTGTACTCCTGAATGATGCTCGGATACAGCGAGTTGAAGTCCATTAGCAGGACAAACTTTTCATAGAGTCCTTTCAATGGTTCCAAGACCAAGCCACCAGCATAGGCGGCACCTTTTTTCCTAGCCGGCAAAGTGGCATCTGTACCGGCCAATGTCGCTTCCATATCGCCACCGCCTGCAGCACCTCTTCTTGCAGGCGCCTTCTTATCCGGCACTATATAGTTCTTTTCATGGAATGCATGGAGCAACAGGAACTCATTTCTTTCAGAGCGACCGCCTTGGAGGGTCCTGGTCATGGTATTGCCACAAATATTCGTAATTTGCAAGGCCAAAGGCATAATGTTCAGTTCGCACATTAATCGGAGTAAATACGAATTATCCTGCATCGTCAGGGATATAAGTTTCGTGATGCTCTCTCCCTTCTCGTACATCTCGAGCAGATCATCGGCATTCACCTCCATTCTCTCCGATTCCTTCAGCTTTAGAACTTGTTGACACAGAGTTTGGAGATCATAGGATCTGGCTCTAATACACTCCTCCGCCGAACGCTTCACATCGCACACCATTCGACCCACAAAATGATCGAGTAGACGTTTACCAAAGGATTGCGTCATCCGAAGACGACCCATTCGGGACCACTGGGGTATCTTTAGGGCCACAATTTGATCCGTGATCACATTCAGCTGACAGTCCATGGCATCAAAGGTCACAATAAGATCCGCATCAATTTGTTGGTACTGAGCTAGAAACCAACTGAGGAGAGCTCTCTCCGAATCGTGTTTATAGATCTTCGTGGACTTGTATTTGGCCAATTCCAGATTCAAATCCAGGGGCCAACTGACCACCGCTGGACGTGTCAGGCCACACATATGACGATTGAATGCCGGCTGTGGGGCAGGCCGATCAATATGGAAACGATTGTGTGCCAGCATCGAGATCATACATATCTCATTTCTCATGGTTTTCGGATTCATCGATGTGCGAACATTGAGCGCCAGCAGTGTTATGGCCGGGGGTGGCGCTGGTTTCCCTCTGGTTTCTTGCACCAATTCCACATTCTTGGGCTCCGCAAGGGTCACCTCGGTTTTGCACCAACTCATGGGAGCGGAAGGGACCTTAAAGCCACTCACCTGTAACCAACAAGGGCCCTTAATCTTCCGATCGAGCAGGAAACGTTCCATAGCATTGGTGGTGGAACCAAAGATATGAGCAATGGAAGCGTATTTTTCCCCAGAAGGCAGGATCGGTGGCGCTGGCTTCTTGCCATCGTAGTGAACTTCCAGGTAATCACACGTCTGTGGCACTTCAATGCCAATGGCATGGTGGGCGAAACTCTTGCTCACCTTCCGCGAACGAAAAGATTCCAATTTAAGGCCACTGGCCACTGCGCTGTCGAACTCCTTGTAGATGTCCGCCACGGTTACCTTTTGATTGGTGGGCTCCTTGGAAATGGGATCGAGAAGCTGTAACGATATGTGGGATATTTGATATTATTCGAAAGATATAACACCAAATTAAATCAAAATGGGTATTTGGTTTAGCTTTTGAATACTGGCAATCATTGAGATAATATCATGCTAGTAGGAACTCTTATTTCTGAGCTCAAAGATGCCCGTCAAATGCTTCTAAACATATCTTAACGAGATCAGATATAAGCGAACAATCATTTCTTCTTGACGAATAATGTTTATATTCATAATAGCAATTAAATAAATAATTAATAAATTCGGCACGTGCCTTTAACAATGCCCTTTAACTGGAAGGCGTATGTTTGAAGTTGCTATGTGCCTATTTAACTGATCTGACACACATTTAATTTCAAGCATCAATTTATTGCTAGGCAAGTTGTACATTTTCGCGTCCAGCTGGCACACTTGATCATAAATTTATGCTAGAAATTTAATTAAAACGAAACAAATTAATGAAATATTTTGTAACGCATGCCCATTTGATTACAATCAACTCTTTTGAGTGAAGCATCCAAATGTCACCCTTTTCTTCTTCCTTCTGCTTGGGTACTTTATAAAGCTGTCAATTGGCTGGGGGCTCGTTCAGTATCATCATGAAAACCCACATTGCACAATTGATTTTCGGCTTTCTTCTGGCTTCCATTGTGAGGTGAGTGAAAAGACTCTGATAAGGATTTGACTGATAACTGTCTTTGTGCCAGTTCTGATGGGACATCTGGTCGCCTGCTGCCCATGGTGATCAACACTTGGGACTATCCTGAAGCAAACACTAAGGCCTGGAGTGTCCTGAACTTGAGTAAAGGCGGCCTGGGGCAAACACTCAATGCCGTGGTGGAGGGCATATCCGAGTGCGAAAGGCTGCAGTGCGGAAAAGCTGTGGGCTATGGCGGGTGTCCTGACGAGCAGGGAGACACTTCATTGGACGCTCTGGTCATGGATGGCAGAACCATGGAAATAGGTGCAGTGGCTGATCTACGGCGCATTAGAAGCGCCATTAAGGTGGCACGGCATGTGCTGGAGCACACCAAACATACATTGCTGGTAGGTGATGCAGCTGATGATTTTGCCAATGAAATGGGATTTCAAAACGAAACGCTGAATACATCTGAATCGATGGAATTTTGGATGAAATGGAGGGCGAACAACTGTCAGCCAAATTTCCGAAAAAATGTCCATCCCGATCCGAAGGTATCCTGCGGGCCGTATTCGCCCCTAACCTCCTGGAAGGACGATATCAGTCGAAGCGAATATGAGATCGGGCCCAATAACCATGACACAATCACTATGATCGCAATCGATGAGGAAAGTAACATCCATGTGGGCGCCTCCACAAATGGATTAAAGTATACGATTCCAGGACGGGTAGGAGACTCGTCAATTCCGGGAGGTGGCACCTACGCGGATAACGATGTGGGAGCCGCCATAACCACCGGAGATGGTGATATTATGATGCGCTTCCTTCCATCACTGCTTGCTGTGGAGGCCTTGCGAGCGGGTAGAACGCCGGCGGAGGCATCTAGACTGGCCTTACGGCGCATCGGGAAGTACGAATCCAAATTCGATGGCGCAGTTGTGGTCGTGAATCGTTTGGGTCAGTACGCAGTAACTTGTCATGGCTTCGAGGGAGAGTTCTCCTATATGGTAAGCAGCCCGGCTTTGCCCGATCGCCCGATGCGAAAGGAAACCATCAAGTGTACAATGAGCAAAGAGGAACTAGAGGCATCATCATTTTAGGTGATGCTTAAGTACAAGAATTATGTTCATGATACTATAATAATGAATTAAATGTGTAACTAAGAAAGATTTAAATGAAAGAAGCTATAATAAATTGATTTTATAATACTCACAAACTGTCGCGGCAGCAAATATAAAACTCGATTAATATTCTGGACTCGAACACACACAGACTTTCCATCGGCGGTACGTCCGAAGAGAAAGACTTCACCGGGCAGCTTAATGGGATCTTCCCAGGCCTCCCAATACCAGAAGCGCAAGTGTTGCTCGTTGGAAGCAGAGGTAGAAGACTCGGACTCCGCCTGATCCCCGGCAAGCACTGACTTTTCAAAGTCATCGTCCATTTGGCAGATGGACTCCCAATTGCTGAGTAGCTTGCTCATATCCTCGGGTGAATCATCAGTTGCTTCCACTGCAACCACTTTTTCGGATGGTTTCTTTTCTTCTACCACCTTTTCCGCCGCTGCTTCTTTACGATTCTCCTTTGGTTTTGGTTTTTCCTTTTCGACATCAAACTGGTTCTCATCATCGTCCAGACAACTGAAATCCATATCATTATCGGAAAAGGGATCTTCGTTTGGGGTTTCCTTTTCCTTGGCAGCCGGTACAGGTTCCTTTTTAATTTGTGAAGTGGAAAAGGTAGTGGCCACCTTTTTATTGGGAACCGTTGCCTTGGGTTTAAGAATGCGTTCCAGCATTTCGTGATCACTGCTGGCCTCCGCTTTCTTTCGCTCCTGCTCCTGGACTTTGATGTTGTTGAGGAAACTGTTCATGTATTCCTTGGCAGCGGCAGCATCCGATTTTCGCGAGGCAACTGCAATCTTTGCTGGAGCTATAACCTTTTCCACTTTTCCGGTGGTTTCTCCTTCTTCGTGCTTTTCCTCCTTAATTTCTCCCAAAATATCAGCCAGAATATCGTCGTCTTTCACACTGTTTTTGATGTCCACTTTTTTGGGAACGGCGTTGCTGAAGAGATTCTTAATGGAGGCCTTGCCCTTGGCGGGTTTTTCCACTTCTCGGGGCCGTTTTTTGCTGTTGGCCGGGGCAACTCCCTTCTTCCTTTTGGAATCCTTTGGCTCTTCATCAGAGTACTCATCTTCGTCTTCGAAGAAGTCGCGTCCATCTTCGGCATAGCCAGTGCCATCTGTAAAGCAATGGTAGTGTCAACCACATGTTGTGTTGGATTCCCTAAGTTCGGAACTCACCCTCTTCGATCCAGTCCTCGCCGTACTTCTCCTGTGCCCTCTTGGCATACTCCCGCTCATCCACCACCTCGTACACATCGTCCACTTGGTCCTCCACCTGGCATTTGTTCTTCGTTCCCTTCAGCTGACGCAGTCGCTCCAGGGCGGCAAATCTACCATTTTTGTCTATGCGCTGACGCTTGACGCGCGGACCAGCTAAAATGCCAGGGTTTAATAAATATAACATTCATGTAATTATTTAATGCACTTACAAGGCGATTCGGACATTACAACAGCTTGATTTTTGTTGATTTCGCTGTGTTATTGTAGTAATTTTCGTTTTTGCAGCTGGGTTTTAGGCGGGAAATTGGTAGTATGACCGCGCATCGATAACGATACAAAATACCAGATGACCTGAAAATTATACCATTATATACTAAAAAAAATTATAAAATTTGATACAATTTTAACGATTTTAGTTATGTTTATTTATTTAAATATATCTTAATTAGTTAATTATATAAGTATTTAATTGGTTGCGTTCCCCAGAACAACCTGATTACAGATTACTGAACTTTTTTGTTTACAAAACTTCTAACGAAGGCCCATAGAAAATCGTTTTCCACACCACAGACTTTTTTGGAAATATCGAAGTTAAAAAATAAAATTTAGTTTTTTCAGCTCTTATACCCGTGTGAAAAGAAAGGGAAATTCGACCTAGTTTTGACATTCTATTCAGAATTTGATCTTTTATATGCTAAATTGAATAATTTTAGTTTAATATAGTCTACCATCACTACATATTAACCCCGCGTGAGTTGGCAGCACCGCATAAGCCATACGAGTTGGCAGCTTACCCTTGTGAAAAATTTAAAAGTTGGCAGCTCTTCATACCCGTGCGAAAAAACAAACGAGTTGGCAGCACCCGTGTGAAAAAAACCTGAAAGTGAGTCGGAGCTGTTACTTAACCAAATTTTTGATTTTAAACAACTATTTTGCACTTGCCAGCCATCATGCTGAGAATCACCGCACGTAGCTTGGCAAGCGCCATGCGCAACACCGTGGTCCCGACCTCTACCCGTGTGGCGGCCGTTCGCAGCCTGCACGGCACCGAGGAGTCCGCGGAGGAGTTCGATAAGCGCTACGAGAAGTACTTCAGCCGCGAGGGCATCGACGGCTGGGAGATCCGCAAAGGCATGAACGACCTGTTGGGTATGGATCTGGTGCCCAGCCCCAAGATCATTGAGGCTGGCCTCCGCGCCTCCCGTCGCGTCAACGACATCGCCCTGGCCATCAGGTGGCTGGAGGGTTGCAAGGACAAGTGCGGCGACCAGAAGGCCACCCTCTACCCCTACTTGCTTGAGAAGATCACTCCCACGCTCCAGGAGCTGGGCGTGCCAACCCTCGAGGAGTTGGGCTACGACAAGCCCGAGCTGGCCCTCAAGTCAGTGTACGATGCCTAAGCCTCTTAGTTTAATTTCAAAACAGAGGAACACAAACACACACACTGCAGACACACTAGCTACACCCATCCTATGTATGGAGCGGATGAACATGTTGTTGGATTAATGTAATAAACGGAGACTGGAGTGGATTGGAATACACACCAACGATGCGTTGTTTCCCTCTTCGTGGTTACGTAATGCCCAGGTTAGGGGGATAAACAATCTACGCCGGAAGTTATTGCAACAAATTCGTTTATTTCCCACCAACTATTTCCACTTGGCAAGCAGCTCGGCTGCCTTGTCCAAGTTCTCCTGCTTCTTGATGAAGCAGTAGCGTACAAAGTCCTCTCCCAGCGGCTTATTGGGCTCGCTGTAAAAGGCGCTGGGTGGAATGCCCTGCAGACCCATATTCTTGGTCATCCACTTGGTGAACTTGTAATCGCGGTGCTTGTCCGGTTCCGAGCTGAGGTCTACCTTATCCGCCAGCGGGGACCAGTCGGCCAGCATGAAATAGCCGCCCTCAGGAATGGTGGGACGCATGCCGGCGTCGGACAAGAACTTGGCCATGTAGTCTCGCTTTTGCTTCAGCTCGCGCGGCAAGCTTAGGAAATAGCTCTCTGGCTTTCCGAGGCGGGCCAGCTCTACCTCAAAACTGCGCGCCACACCCTCCTGCAGGGGCGTGGGACAGGTGTATACGGAATTCTGGTGGACCATCTGCAGGTTGCGAATAAGCTGGGCGGGACCGTAGGCCCAGCCGATCTTCCAACCGGTGACCGAGAAGGTCTTGCCAGCCGATCCCAGCGTGATGGTGCGGTCCCACATGCCGGGCAGCGTGCAGATGCGAATGTGCTCCGCTCCGTCGAACACAAGCCACTCGTAGACCTCGTCCGAGACGCACAGCACGTTCCACTTGCGGCACAGCTCGGCGATCCGTTCCAGCTCCTTTCGGTTGAAGACCTTGCCGATGGGATTGTGCGGGGTGTTCAGAATGATCATCTTGGTCTTTGAGTTGAACAGTTTCTCGAATTCGGCGTCGTCCAGAACCCAATCCGCTGAGCTGATTGGACCGGTTCCCTCCGTCTGGCGCTGCAAGGGGCGCAGAGATGTGTATAGTGAATCGGATTCATTCACTTATTCCAATTTTCCTTACCAATTTCAGGGGAATGAAGCGCGGAACACCGCCAGCCATCTTAACCATGGGCTCGTAGCAATCAAAGAAGGGTTCAATAATGATCACCTCATCGCCAACGTCCACGTGCCCCATGATAGTGGAGTACAGGGCCTCATAGGCGCCCGAGGTGATGAGGATGTCGGTGAGGGGATTCAGCTCTTTGGAGACGAGACCGCTGTACAGCTTGGAGAGCGCCTGAACCAGACGAACATGTCCATAGCCGCGGGTATACTGATGCAGGAGCGGATTCTCATCCTTGGCAATGTCCGCCAGCGAATGGGTCACATACTCGGGGGCGGCGTCATCGGGAAACCCCTGGCCCAGATTCAGAGGCTTGTACTGCATGGCCAGGGCGATGTATTCGTTCCATACACTGGGCGTACTGCCCTGCAATCGCTTGGGCAGATCGAACTTGTCCATGTTGCTACAGGTGGCAGCGGTCTGTTGATGACGTTGAACTTGAAACTGGAACTGATCCCGGAGGCTTCTTGTGGCAAGGCGGCGACAACTGCGGAGCATCTGCAACAGAGAGTATGACCTTAGTGGTGGAATCTTTCCCCTTTTTGCTAATCGCCGCGTGTAGATTTATGGCGCAGATAAGCACGCACTTTGTTGTTGGTCTGTCTGGGTGTCTAATCTTAATAATAATGCTAAAATATCACTTGTTAAATGCAATTGTTTGAGCTTAAATGCTGGAGTGACGTTGCATAATGCACTGAAATTTGATTAGACCAAGGCAGTGTCTATAAGTAAATAAGAAATTGTTTAGGGCGCTTACACTCACACACACATACACGCAATAATATGCAAATAAACAAATACAAATTAAGAATTTTAAATTATTTTAATGGGACCAGGCGTTAGGCACTAATTATGTGCTAGAAATTGGCAGCACTGTTCTTATCTGTGCAAAGTTCCTTGATATTACGCGGCAGAAAATGGGCTACAATTTTAATTGTTAACTGCAAATTTTATTGATCAAGAAAAAAACATAAAATATATCAAAAGCAAGACCTTAAAATGCTTCAGTAAAACAGTAACTGATAAACAAACAAGACGACTGGCATTAAGTGCTGAAAAGAGCTACATCGATTCAGCCAATGCTGCCCATTTTTTAACCGATAACATTAAGCTATCGAAATTCAAATTTCAGTCAAGAGCTTTTTTATTATTGACAAACCTGAAAAATCTCCTTTAAAATCAAAGCCAAACATCGTTCATTTCTCAAAAGTTTATTTATAAAAATGCTTGTTAATGGTGGCAAAATCAATGGGAAGAAATCATCGTATAGCTAGTTATAATTGACAAATTAATTGATTAATAACATATTAAGCATGGAAACATTTTACATTACATATCCATTAAGTGTAGAATTATCTGTTTTATAGGCTATATAAAAAGAGTTGAAGTTGAAGTTATCATTTTGTTTCATTTGTTCATTTCCGATTTTTATCAATTTCAAATGTTCGTTTCTGAAGAGTTTCAACAACGTAAAGCTACTAAACTTAAATCACAGATAACACTAAAGTGTTTGTTACGATATATGCATGAATATATATGTGTCTGTTTCTATATATATATGTATATATATGTCACTATATATGTGGTGAGTGTGTGTGTTTATTACAGGACTTCTTTTTAGTCCTCCCTCCTTGTATGATTCCTTTTGTGTGGAAATCATAGAACGCATAACTGACTTAAGGTTAGGTTAGAAAACAGCTAAAACTAACGAAATTGTGTGTTGTCTGTAAGGGTGTGTGTTTGGTCGCATTCCATCTCAGTTATTAAATGCAACAATTGGCTTAAGTACTACGAAACAAGGAGGCTGGAGTCCTGATTCGGGTTTTGGGACTTTAGTAATTGTATGTGATCCAATTGTTTCCACTATCCCTCTTTCTTCTCTTTTCCACTTCTACCTTCCCCACCGCTGTGAATGGCACACGTTTTGCATAACGCGAATGGCAAAATCGAATCTAAGCTTAAGGGCGCGGCTTCCGGTTTGATTTAAGTATTTCAAAAGGCAAATAACCATTGCTACGTTTTAGCTACATAACTGAAATTAAGTTGAAGCCTTTTTTAGTTTTAAATAAGAAAGGATTATATAGATCCTTGGTCGGATTATAGTCTTAAGTACTTTGTATAAATATAATTTCAATCGGAAACCGTGCCCTTAGCCTCTCTTCTCCCCCTCTGTCTGGATGATTCTGTGTATGAAGTCCTGCTGCACTCTCCCTAGACATGCACCTCCGGGCAATCCTCGTCCTTGATCGATGTGTACTGCACCTTCTTGGCCACATTGTCAAACACCGGCGTGATCATGTACTTCAACTTATCCCGGCTAACATAGACAAGTGCCACCAGCAGACCCAGCAGGATCATGCTAAGGACAATCAGCAGGAAGATCAGCGTGGCCGTGTGTCCATTGAGGTGTGCCTGAGAATGCGGCGACGCTTCCGCTCCGCCATAGCGCTGCTCATCCTCGGCGGCATTCAGGATAGTGGCAGCAGCAGCCATGGCATCCGCACACTGGCCCATATCCAGCTGGAGCAGGTGGGCGGGCGAGGAATCCACACGTCCTGGGGAGTGGAAGCACATGAGGCTGTCCTTGTTGCGGACAGTAACCCGTCGCGTCAACGACATCGCCCTGGCCATCAGGTGGCTGGAGGGTTGCAAGGACAAGTGCGGCGACCAGAAGGCCACCCTCTACCCTTACTTGCTCGAGAAGATCACTCCCACGCTCCAGGAGCTGGGCGTGCCAACCCTCGAGGAGTTGGGCTACGACAAGCCCGAGCTGGCCCTCAAGTCCGTGTACGATGCCTAAGCCTCTTAGTTTAATTTCAAAACAGAGGAACACAAACACACACACTGCAGACACACTAGCTACACCCATCCTATGTATGGAGCGGATGAACATGTTGTTGGATTAATGTAATAAACGGAGACTGGAGTGGATTGGAATACACACCAACGATGCGTTGTTTCCCTCTTCGTGGTTACGTAATGCCCAGGTTAGGGGGATAAACAATCTACGCCGGAAGTTATTGCAACAAATTCGTTTATTTCCCACCAACTATTTCCACTTGGCAAGCAGCTCGGCTGCCTTGTCCAAGTTCTCCTGCTTCTTGATGAAGCAGTAGCGTACAAAGTCCTCTCCCAGCGGTTTATTGGGCTCGCTGTAAAAGGCGCTGGGTGGAATGCCCTGCAGACCCATATTCTTGGTCATCCACTTGGTGAACTTGTAGTCGCGGTGCTTGTCCGGTTCCGAGCTGAGGTCTACCTTGTCCGCCAGCGGTGACCAGTCGGCCAGCATGAAGTAGCCGCCCTCGGGAATGGTGGGACGCATGCCGGCGTCGGACAAGAACTTGGCCATGTAGTCTCGCTTTTGCTTCAGCTCGCGCGGCAAGCTTAGGAAATAGCTCTCTGGCTTTCCGAGGCGGGCCAGCTCTACCTCAAAACTGCGCGCCACACCCTCCTGCAGGGGCGTGGGACAGGTGTATACGGAATTCTGGTGGACCATCTGCAGGTTGCGAATAAGCTGGGCGGGACCGTAGGCCCAGCCGATCTTCCAACCGGTGACCGAGAAGGTCTTGCCAGCCGATCCCAGCGTGATGGTGCGGTCCCACATGCCGGGCAGCGTGCAGATGCGAATGTGCTCCGCTCCGTCGAACACAAGCCACTCGTAGACCTCGTCCGAGACGCACAGCACGTTCCACTTGCGGCACAGCTCGGCGATCCGTTCCAGCTCCTTTCGGTTGAAGACCTTGCCGATGGGATTGTGCGGGGTGTTCAGAATGATCATCTTGGTCTTTGAGTTGAACAGTTTCTCGAATTCGGCGTCGTCCAGAACATAATCCGCTGAGCTGAATGGACCGGTTCCCTCCGTCTGGCGCTGCAAGGGGCGCAGAGATGTATATAGTGAATCGGATTCATTCACTTATACCAATTTTCCTTACCAATTTCAGGGGAATGAAGCGCGGAACACCGCCAGCCATCTTAACCATGGGCTCGTAGCAATCAAAGAAGGGTTCAATAATGATCACCTCATCGCCAACGTCCACGTGCCCCATGATAGTGGAGTACAGGGCCTCACAGGCGCCCGAGGTGATGAGGATGTCGGTGAGGGGATTCAGCTCTTTGGAGACGAGACCGCTGTACAGCTTGGAGAGCGCCTGAACCAGACGAACATGTCCATAGCCGCGGGTATACTGATGCAGGAGCGGATTCTCATCCTTGGCAATGTCCGCCAGCGAATGGGTCACATACTCGGGGGCGGCGTCATCGGGAAACCCCTGGCCCAGATTCAGAGGCTTGTACTGCATGGCCAGGGCGATGTATTCGTTCCATACACTGGGCGTACTGCCCTGCAATCGCTTGGGCAGATCGAACTTGTCCATGTTGCTACAGGTGGCAGCGGTCTGTTGATGACGTTGAACTTGAAACTGGAACTGATCCCGGAGGCTTCTTGTGGCAAGGCGGCGACAACTGGGTGTCTAATCTTAATAATAATGCTAAAATATCACTTGTTAAATGCAATTGTTTGAGCTTAAATGCTGGAGTGACGTTGCATAATGCACTGAAATTTGATTAGACCAAGGCAGTGTCTATAAGTAAATAAGAAATTGTATAGGGCGCTTATACTCAACACACATACAAGCAATAATATGTAAATAAACAAATACAAATTAAGAATTTTAAATTATTATAATGGGACCAGGCGTTAGGCACTAATTATGTGCTAGAAATTGGCAGCACTGTTCTTATCTGTGCAAAGTTCCTTGATATTAGGCGGCAGAAAATGGGCTACAATTTTAATTGATAGCTGAAATTTTTATTGATCAAGAAAAAAACATAAAATATATCAAAAGAAAGACCTTAAAATGCTTCAGTAAAACAGTTATTGATAAACAAACAAGACGACGCATAAAGTGCAGGAAAGCACCACACCTGATGATGTTCTGCCCATCGATTCAGCCAATGCTGCCCATTTTTGTAACCGATAGCATTTAGCTATCGAAATTCAAATTTCAATCAAGAGCTTATTTATTATGTACAAACCAGATAATCTCCTTTAAAATCAAAACCAAATATCGTTCATTTCTCAAAAGTTTATTTATAAAAAATGCTTGTTAATGGTGGTAAAATCAATGGGGAGAAATCATCGTATAGCTAGTTATAATTGACAAATTAATTGATTAATAACATATTAAGCATGGAAACATTTTACATTACATATCCATTAAGTGTAGAATTATCTGTTTTATAGGCTATATAAAAAGAGTTGAAGTTGAAGTTTACATTTTGTTTCATTTGTTCATTTCCGATTTTTATCAATTTCAAATGTTCGTTTCTGCAGAGTTTCAACAAAGTAAAGCTACTAAACTTAAATCACAGATAACACTAAAGTGTTTGTTACGATATATGCATGTATATATAAGTGTCTGTTTCTATATATATATGTATATATATGTCACTATATATGTGGTGAGTGTGTGTGTGTTTATTACAGGACTTCTTTTTAGTCCTCCCTCCTTGTATGATTCCTTTTGTGTGGAAATCATAGAACGCATAACTGACTTAAGGTTAGGTTAGAAAACCGCTAAAACTAACGAAATTGTGTGTTGTCTGTAAGGGTGTGTGTTTGGTCGCATTCCATCTCAGTTATTAAATGCAACAATTGGCTTAAGTACTACGAAACAAGGAGGCTGGAGTCCTGATTCGGGTTTTGGGACTTTAGTAATTGTATGTGATCCAATTGTTTCCACTATCCCTCTTTCTTCTCTTTTCCACTTCTACCTTCCCCACCGCTGTGAATGGCACACGTTTTGCATAACGCGAATGGCAAAATCGAATCTAAGCTTAAGGGCGCGGCTTCCGGTTTGATTTAAGTATTTCAAAAGGCAAATAACCATTGCTACGTTTCAGCTACATAACTGAAATTAAGTTGAAGCCTTTTTTAGTTTTAAATAAGAAAGGATTATATAGATCCTTGGTCGGATTATAGTCTTAAGTACTTTGTATAAATATAATTTCAATCGGAAACCGTGCCCTTAGCCTCTCTTCTCCCCCTCTGTCTGGATGATTTTGTGTATGAAGTCCTGCTGCACTCTCCCTAGACATGCACCTCCGGGCAATCCTCGTCCTTGATCGATGTGTACTGCACCTTCTTGGCCACATTGTCAAACACCGGCGTGATCATGTACTTCAACTTGTCCCGGCTAACATAGACGAGCGCCACCAGCAGACCCAGCAGGATCATGCTAAGGACAATCAGCAGGAAGATCAGCGTGGCCGTGTGTCCATTGAGGTGTGCCTGAGAATGCGGCGACGCTTCCGCTCCGCCATAGCGCTGCTCATCCTCGGCGGCATTCAGGATAGTGGCAGCAGCAGCCATGGCATCCGCACACTGGCCCATATCCAGCTGGAGCAGGTGGGCGGGCGAGGAATCCACACGTCCTGGGGAGTGGAAACACATGAGGCTGTCCTTGTTGCGGACAGTGACCCGGGTAAGCGGGATCCACGTGCGGAAGGGGGCAATGCGGCAATCGCAGACAAAGGGATTAAGATTAAAGTCTACGATTAGATTGGCCGTGCGATTGGGGCGATCCTCCAGCTCGTTGAGCACACGCAGATCGGTGGGCTTCACGAAGCCGAACTTGTTGCGTTCGAGATCGAGGAATCGCAGGTTGTTCAGACACCGAACCTCAAAGTTTAGGTCACGCAGTTCGTTGTCGCCCAGATGGAGGTCCCGCAGCGATGGCAGATCACAGAAGACATTGCGATCCTTGAAGTGCGTGATCTCATTCTGCTCCAAATGGAGCTTCTGCAGCTTCACCAGCTGGCTGTTCACAAAGATATCGTGCAGATCCTCGCTCAGCTGCGGCGAGCTATTGTCCTCGAAGGCATCGGTGAGATGCAGGCTCTGCAGGTTCACAAAGTTCGAGAAGACGCGCGGATGATGGTGGTTGACCTCGTCGTCATAACGCGAAATGCTCAAATTGTTATGATTCAGGATCAGGCGCTCCACACGCGGCACATGGTGATAGCTTTTGCCACGTATCTCCCTGATGTGGTTATTGCTCATGTCCACAATGCGCAACTGCTTGTAGTCATTGATGCTGCCAAATACGTTCCAGGGCAGCTCGGTAATTCGGTTGCCGGTGAAGATCAGCACCTCCACCTGTTCGGGCATGAACTCCAGGACACTGGTGTTATGCAGACCGGCATTTGTGCAGTTCACCACATATTGCATCTCAGTTTCGTACATCTCCTTGCCGCAGCTGCATGCTGCCGGAAAATTGGGTCCACAGCTGGACGAGGTGTCGCCCAGGACTCCTCCGCTGCCAAGTGCCAGGCTTAAGGTGGCAACAACCACGGCCAGGGCCAGTCTCCTCAGTTCGGTGGGTGGCATCGCTCTCTTTAATTGCTTGACTGCCTGCAAATAATTGAATGAATAAAATATATTAAAATGCAGATAAATGTATATTTATAAGACTTAAAGAGTTTTAAATACTTTCATGAGACTTTTCCAACTCAATATGGCTAATTATTTCTGTCTGTGCAGGGTGAACACATGCTTTATGAGTTGCAAATGCATTTTAAAGTGGCAAACAGGCGGCGGAGCTACGCGAAAATTTATTTAGCTTCCTCGACTAACCGTAGCTTCCGGCTCTTCCTAGCCTGCTTGCCTCCAAAATGGACAGCTTATTTATGCTCCACAAGTTGCAGATTTATGTGCTTATAAAGCATCGCAGCACACACACACACACACACACAAAACACACACCTCTCCATGGAGCGTGTTCTTTCGCGCCCATCTCAATCATCGGCCCACGCGGCGTATGGGTAATTTCTGTTTAGTGCCAAACTTTTGCGGCAGTGGGACCACAACAAACGCCTGAAGGGCACTCCGGCGTGCATGGAGTCATCCAACCGCAACAAGAGAAGCCCGGAGCCGTAAACCTGATTATTTTTCGGTTTTTATTGCCATTTGTTTAGTGCTCTCCACCGGAGTCTGTGTGTATATGTGTGTTTATGAGTGGAGAGTTTATAGTAGAGAGGAAGCTTTAATTTTTGCTTTTTACTATATTTTTAAGAGATCTGTGAAACCAAAAATTGTTGCAATATATTGGGAAACTCCAGGGGCTTACTCCCAACACACTTTTAATTTGATTAACATATAATTAAATATCGGTAAACCACATTTTGGGTTTCAATTGGCCAAACACAATGGATAATGTATGAGTAGTATGTATGCACAAATATAAAGCGAGAATTGGAAATACATAACTATTTACACAAATCAATTTGTGGAATCAATTAGTATCGTTTACGGATTTAACTGGGCAAACTATAATCCTGAATTTATTACTCCAACTGTGTATAGTTTGAATATATAAAATATTTATCGTTCGATAAAATCGTTTTGAAACGCGAGCCGTATTGCATCCTTTCATTTGCCTTTATTCAGACCTGGACTCTCGTGTCCTGGCTGCTGCGGTGGAGGCGTCTGGTCCAAGGGTCACTCGATGCTAATGAGCGCATCAAATTCCCGTTCGGGGTAAATTGAAAACTAACGGTCCTTTTAATGGGCCCAGCAGGATGCCCTCGACGCATTCAAATCGCAGCCTCACACTCTGCTCCTGGAGGCCACTCAATTACCTCCCGACTGGCCTGGCAATTATGTTGTCTGCCTTTCGAGTGGGTTTATATGCTGGTTTTTGCAAAGTTTTGTGAATTCAATTTAGAGGACGCTTTGTGAAATATTTATCTACCACAAATCTGTTAATATTTAACAAATATTGCCTGATGTGGAAATTAAATAATTTTGATTGGTGGTTTCTATGAATGGCTTCTAATTTTAAACCAGGTTAGATGCTGTATATATAGAGGAGCTATAAGCAAAAGCACAAGGTAAAAGCTAAAGCTGGCTCTGTGCACACGAGCAGTCACTTCCGGTTTGTCGGACTAACAAGCGGAAACGCCATTTACCTCCACAGTTTTACTTTAATTTCAACTTTTATGTCTTTGTTATTGTTTGCTTTGTGTGTTTACTGTTGCAATAACATACACCTTACAACTCAGAGGCCCCCCTCCGTAACGCCCATGGCCACCCCCTTTGTTCTGAGCCCGTGGCCATTCCAGTGCAATAATAAGGCGAACAAACAGCATTTGTTCCTTCTTTACTGCACTCGCTTCGCTTCTCGCTGGAATTTATGCATGCGCGTAAAATAATAATAATACAAACAACAAAAAATAACAGAAAAAAAAACGAGAAAAGAACACAAACAAATAGCAACAAAAATAACATTTTTATAGTATATGTGTTTTTTGTATGTACGAGGCGAGGTTAAAATAATAACGGTTGAGCATTTTGGTATGTGTCTTGATACCCTCACTGAAGGGTATAAAGGGTTTGAAGAAAAAGAATTCCATAAATAATTAGGATTAGGATAATTAATTATATAAATGCTTCATAATAATTATATATCTAACACTCATATAAAAAATACTCCCAGATTAACACATATTTTTTCTTAAATACCTAAAACCCAGTCAAGGTATATACAGTTTCGTTATCCAATTGCAATTATTTTCACCTTGTTTGTTAATATTTTTACGTGCTCTGTGTCTGCTTTGCATTCGCAGAACTCCCGCTCTAATTCTCGCCCGGTGGTTCCCATTTTCTTTTAATTCGTTAGTGGTGAAGTGCCAGCCACTTGGCAGTTGCAATGCAAAGGAGAACGAGTACCAGGACGATGATGACGACGACTACGTCGACGAGGAGTAGGAGGAGAAGGAGCAGCTGGAGCAGGAGGAGAGGGAAAAAATGGGGGACCATGTGCAAAAGCAAATGGCGAAATATGGAAACGGAATTAAAGGTGGCCACTTAATTTGTTATGCACTATGAGTGTGTGTGTGTGTGGGTGACTTACTCGCACTGTGGTCTAATTAGAGTATAACTGTACAGGATAATACCGAAAGGGGTAGGAAAAATGGTGACACACCCCCACAGATAAGGCACGTCTATAATACCGCACTTCAGTAATGTTAACTAATGACAGCCAATTAAGTTAACTTCCGACAACCCCCCGTGCCATTTTGCCTTTATCACTGACATTTTACATTCGATAAACACCAATTTGCTATATGAATATTTGCAGTGAGCTCAGGATTAAATGTGAATTCAACGTGGGTAGTTGGAAATGTAAAAATATGTTTGATAGTTATAAATAGATATATATTGCTGGATGCTTTAATTTTATATAATAGTTTTGAAATGTGCGAGTAAAATATAAAATGAATTCGAAGGCACAAAATCTTGTTCGCCTTTTCAACTTTTATTTATAATTTTATAATTTTTTTAATCGTTATCTCTACTTTTAGGCTTCACTCGTCCTCTACACTTTTCGTTATCTAAGCTTCTCGTCTTTACTTGTAATCTCTATAGACTCTATAAACTCGTTCGATTTACTCGTTATTTTCTATTCTTGCGTCCTCTTACCAAGTGTAGTCTTTAGTCACTTTCTTTACTTATCGTCGTTACTCATCGTTTAACTTAATTCGTCTTTACTCGCTCTATGTGCTTTTACCTTTAACTTGTCCTCTTTACTTGTCTTCTTTACTCGCTGCCTTTACTCGTTAACTTAAATTCTATAATAAATGTGTCCCAAAATCCTCAATGTATTTACCCTGTACAACGTCATCAATAATACAGACCTAATAACTTGTCCAACTAGAATCTTGTCGAGCGAATTGCAGACAACATTAAAAATTCCATTTTCCCCAGCAAACCAGAATTTAGCATTTGCATTACCTGCAACCACCTTCCTTCCCACCGTTGTTGTCTCAATTTTCTCATCGTTTTGGAAAAGCTTCTCATTAAATAAAATCCTCCGCCCTCGCTCAGGATGCGCTTAAAATTGTTGAGCAGATGTCTCCATTATCGCCGTGCTCCTCAATCGGATGCTGTGGCCAGGACTCTTAGCATTTCTCCAAGCCTCCCACTCTGTGGGGTGCTGGTGGTGGCATGGTGGTATGGTCTCGTCCTTGGGAGTTTCGCCAGTCAAATTTCATTGTTGGCACAACTCGTTGCATACTTTCGGGCAACACTTGCGAATGAAAAGCTCTTCAGAGTGAATTCGCAGCTGCAACTTGCATCCATCCAACTTGATGCGGAATGGAGGCGGGTCGGGCTGAGCTGGGTAATGGGAGGAGCAGTCAGTGAATGGTGGCAAAGTGCTGCTCGCCTTTGCCAACTGCATTACGGAAATCCTAATGCGGCCAACAAGCGTTTAATGTCCTGCCCGGCAGTCATTAAGCGGCAGTGAGAAATGTTGAAATGTTTAAAAGCTTTTCGCCAACTCCGCCTCGAGTTTCTCGAGAGCACGGCCAGCAGCCAAAAATGGCCAACTAACTGTTCTTCTGGCTGGCCGTAAATTTCAGCGGGTTTCCCGGAGTTTTTACTGGGTTTCCAGTGAGAAAATAACAATCTTAGATCAAGGATATGGAGGCGCGAGTGCAAGTAATGGTAGTGAGGAAAGCAAAAGGCTTTTTAGATGGCTTTCTTAAAGTTTCAGTTACTTTTCCTAGTGATTTATTGACTAAAACTGTTGTGTATTGAATATGGTATTAAATAAGCATTGGTTGAACTTTATTAAATAAACAATGCAACATCCTTTCCTCTTAGAGTCCTTATGAAGCAAACGTTCTCATTCACTTGTAATTGCATTAATTATATTCTGATTCCTGCTTCCCATTATTTTTTCCCCCAGTGTGAAGTTACGACTGAAATGGCTGAGTCCCATCTTCCGCTCTTTGTTCTGGATTGTTTATGCCCTCATTGAGTGTCCGCCGGGCGAGACGCGCTAAAGTAGGCAACACTTGTCGCGACGTCCTTCCTTTCCCCATTATACAAAACCCCATCTGCTGGCTTCCCCTCCTGGTCATGTCCATTGTCAACCTGGCGATGGTGGTTGCTCAGCTTCTGGCGCTGGCTTTTGAGGACCACGCTCCTTGCCAATGCAATTAAACGCGACTGCAGTACCCTGGCATGGTTTACTATCCTGTCCCGTCCTGGCCGCATGAAACTCAATTAGGAAAGTTCAGCAGCAGCGACGGAAAAGTGGAAAAGCTGGGTGGGGGGCCCGGGTGGCATGACTGCCAGCCACAATATGAAATTGGTGCACGTTGGCTTCATAATTTCATTATGAGTGCGCCATGCGAAGTGCAAAATATATACGAGCCTGACAGAATACAGGAGCCACAAGAGCCGTGAAGCTGCCGAACTGGGAGCTGGAAACTTGGGCGTGTCTTGGTCAGAGCTCTCGCATCCGGCTGGACTATGTAATTAGCAGACAGCTAATTGCACTTCAATGGTCCAGTAAGTGGAGTCGGAGCTGGAGATGGAGCTGGGAAGTCTGGGAAGTTATTCGC